TGACTTTAACAATTTTAAAATCTTTTTCATTCTGGACTTGTTTGCAGAAGTCAAAGAACACAGAATGTGACTCATCCTTGTGTTTTAGGAATTTCACCCATGTCCATCTGCTATAGTCATCAACAATGACTAATCCGTACTTCTTGCCTCTGATGGATGCAGTTTTCACTGGTCCAAACAGATCAATGTGAAGTAACTCTAATGGTCTTAAAGTTGAAACAACATTCTTAGTTTTAAAAGAAGATTTTGAAATTTTTCCTTTTTGACATGCTTCACAAAGAGCATCTGAGTTGAACTTCAACTTAGGAAGTCCTCTGACCAAATTGAGTTTATTAATCTGAGATATACGTCTCATATTAATATGCCCCAATCTTCTGTGCCATACCCATTGCTCATCATTAACAGACATAAGGCATTTAACATTTTGAACCTTAAGTTCTGAAAGATTGATTTTGTAAATGTTGTTCTTCCTCTTTCCATTAAATAGGATTGAGCCATCCTTCTGACTAACAGCTTTGCAACATTGTTGATTAAAGATTATGTCATAACCATTGTCACTTAATTGACTCGTGGACAATATATTATGCTTTAATCCTTCTACAAGTAAAACATTAGATGTAGAGGGAAGGTTACCATTGCCAATAGTACCAGAGCCAATAATCTTTCCCTTCTGATTCCCTCCAAACTTCACGCCTCCTCTAGATTTAAGCTCCAGGCTTTGGAACATAAACCTTTCTCTCGTCATGTGATGTGAGCAGCCAGAGTCCAGGTACCATGATTGGCGTCTTGACTTTGCTGCTAAATACATCCGCAATAGGGATTATCTTATCCTTAGGTACCCAGATCTTTTTGGGTCCTTTTGGGTTAGTTGCCTTAAAAGTTTGTCTGAACTTCTGTCTTTTTACAACAGTTTTGTTATGAATGACTTTTGGCTTAAACACAGGAACATTCTGATCAGAACGTGTGTGTTTAATATCATTCAGATGACCAAACTTAAAATAAGAATATAAGGGAGTCTTCTTAATGATAAGTTTATCAACAGGTTTTGGATTTAAATCCTTTCCAAAGGAAGATTCATATCCAATTCCTTTCCTGTTGTTTCTGCTAACTCCATAGATCATTGAAGCCATCTTGCTTTTATGCTTTTAGCCAGAAACTTCTGAAAACTGAAGTCATATTCTTCCAAAATATTTTTGCATTTTGACTTAGTTTTAGAATCAGAGTCTTGTTGAGCTTTTTCAAAATTGTTTTTCATTTTCAAGTTATTTTCTTTGAGCTCAGCAACTTCTGACTTTAACAGATTATTCTCAGATTCAAGATTGCATTTAAGCTTCTTGCATTTGAGGTTAATCTGATTATAGTTTTTCAGGACTTCTGATAAGACTTTAATAAGTTCTTCCCTAGAGAGATCAGAAAGTACCTCTTCTGAGTCAGATTCAGAATCAGATTTATATCTAGATGATCCTTCATCCTGATCTTCTATTCCAGCCATCAATGCCATGTTGGCGCATTCTTCTTCTGACTCTGATGAAGATTCAAATGCATCTGAATCATCCCATGTAGCCATCATAGCTTTCTTCTTATGCTCAGGCTTCCTTCTAGGCTTTTCCTTCTGAAGCTTTGGACATTCATTCTTGTAATGCCTAGGTTCCTTGCATTCATAGCAAACAACCTCCTTCTTTCCAGATCTTTTGTGTCCAAAGGACTCTTTGCGTTGATCTGGCTTCTTGAAGTTCTTGAACTTCCTCTGTTTGTGCTTCCAGAGTTTGTTGATTCTTCTGGACAGCAATGACAGTTCATCTTCTTTTTCAGAAGAAGACTCTTCAGAACTCTCTTCTAACACCTGCAACGCTTTAGCAGATTTGTTAGATTTTAAAGCAATTGACTTACCTTTCTTTTGAGGCTCGTCTTCTTCAAGTTCAATTTCATGGCTCCTCAGTGAGCTGATCAGTTCTTCCAATGCGATCTTGTTCAGATCCTTTGCTAGCTTCAGAGCAGTGACCATAGGTCTCCATCTGATAGGAAAGCTTCTGATGATCTTCTTCACATGACCAGCAGTTGAATAGCCTTTGTCCTGCACTTTTAATCCTGCTGTGAGGATCTGGGATCTAGAGAACATAGTTTCTATAGATTCAGATTCTTCCATTTTAAACGCTTCATACTTCTGGATTAGCGCCAGAGCCTTAGTCTCTTTAACTTGTGAGTTCCCTTCGTGTGTTATCTTCAAAGACTCAAACAAATCAAATGCAGTTTCTCTGTTGGTGATCTTCTCATACTCAGTATGAGATATTGCATTTAATAATATTGTTCTAGCTTTGTGATGATTTCTGAACTCCTTCTTTTGGGCTTCAGTCATAGATTTTCTATCAATTTTCTTGCCATCCCCATCAGTGGGGTGAACATAACCATCAATGACTAAGTCCCATAGATCAACATCATAACTAAGGAAGAAACTCTCTATTCTGTCCTTCCAATAGTCAAACTTCTCCCCATCAAACATAGGGGGTTTTGTGCTGATTCTATCCCTTTCTTCATATCTGTTGTTGCTGTTAGATGTTGAAGTTTCAGCCATAATAACAACCAAGAATATATATCAAAGTTTTCTCACTGGATCTTTTCTGTTCACGGTGAAGTGATAGCACACACAAAACCGGAGCTCTGATGCAAACTGAAGGTGAGAAAATACTTAAAAGGGGGGGGGGGGTGAATAAGTATAGAAATAATTTGGCAATAAAAACACAATGATTTTTATCCTGGTTCGTTGAACTCAACTAATCCAGTCCACCCTATCAAGAGTGATTTGCCTTTCTCTACAAGGACTTAATCCACTATAATCAAACTGATTACAATAACAACCACTAAGAACAACTGTTCTTAGTCTTCTCAAGAACTACTGACCACAACTTGGTCTTCTCAAGGAACTTTTACAATCAAATGTAAACTAAACAAGTGTTTGAGTGCTTCTAATAAAGCTGTATCACAACTGTGATTTACACTTAAGTTTAAGAGCTTATGAAAACTGTTAGCAAAGAATAATAATTTGTATGAGAGCTTTGAGAGAGTTTTCAATGAATTTGGATAATTTCGTCAACTGAAGAAAGTTGTTGAAGGCTTGCTTTTATAGGCTTAGAAATCCAATGCATTGCAAGCTTGGAGACCGTGTACTGCAAAGTAGCTGTAACTTTCTGTCTTCACATATCTTAACCTTTCCTAGAAGTAGAAAGTTCAGAGAAATCCTTTTTGCCTGTGTTCTTGTGTCTAGCATAAAAGAGGAAAAAGTCGTTTGACATAACCAACAAATATAACTTTGAATTCTTCTTCAACAAGTTTCTAATTCACAGCAATTATCATCAGAGCCTTGAGTGATCAGAGTCTTGATGTTCTTCAGAGTTTGTTGTATCATAGTGTTGCAACAAGTGTGCTTTAGTGTGAGATAACTCAGAGCAGAGTTTAGAGATCGGATCCTCAGTACTTGCAGCGTACAGTACTATCAGAGTTTTCTGAAAAACAGTGCTTGAAACTCTTCATACAAAGTCTTCAGTCTACGCTTCAGATGCTTCTGTAGCTTCTGCTTCAGATCCTTCTGTAGGCAGCGCTCAGATTCTTCTAAGAGATGCTTCTGACGCTTCAGAGCCTTGCGTAGTTCAACGTCCAGGTCCATTTTTACTTTCAGAAGAATATTAAATTTAATACCTGCAGCAAAAAATACTTGAACAAATTTAGAGTATATAATTTCTTAATACAAAATTTCGTAAGTGTTATCATCAAAACATAGAGATATAACTAAGAACCAATTTGTGTTCTAACAAAGTTAGCTTGTAATCTATGTTAGCTTAGTAGTCTATAAATATACTAGTTCTCTCAGGTTGTTGGGAGATGTTAATTGTTGGTATTAACTTGTAATCTTTGAACCCTTATTGAGAAAGTGAATAGTAAAACAAATTTAACTAATTCTCTATTTTTCTTCCTTTTTCTCTTTTCTTTTGTGAAACCTAATAGAGTTTTTTGTATTTGTTCAAGAAACTCAATCTTTATCTCATAACTTTACTCTGTTATTGACGACATCGTTTCACAACAATAAACATATATTCAGGTCATATATCGTCTGACATCAAACTCTTAACATGTCTTCTCATGTCCATCCTTATTGGACTTGGTAATTGGATATAAATTGTAGGTGACTTGGTATCGAAATCTTGATAGAAGATGACTAAACCAATATAAAACAAGACTTAAATACCATGTTATAAAATAAAGTTTTGATATTTTAAAGAATGTTGTTACAATTAGTTAAATAAAAGAATTTAATTGATATTGCTCCGAAAGTGTAAATTTTTTTTACATTGTCAACCAATTACCATCATGTATCCCGTTATTTTATACTGTAAATTTTAAGTTATTGATATGACATGAAAGGTTAATTAATTTTTATTAGATGATAATAAAAATTAAACTCTAAATGAAAAGGAAAAACAAACTTAATAAACAAACTTTGTTTAATGAGCGTAAGATTTTATTTATAATATAATACTTACCCCATCTTACATCGTGTAAATATTGTTGATATGTTTTTAAAATCTATATAATTAAGTAACGTAACAGTATGATAGGTTTTTATATATATATATATATATATATATATATATATATATATATATATATATATATATATATATATATATATATATATATATATATATATATATATATATATATATATATATATATATATATATATATATATATATATATATATAGCTCCTTCTATCTTATGTTCTTTTTAATAATATTTGTAGCTCCTTCTAAAAAGGATTTTCTAAAGAAAGAAAAGTTAAAACAAGTAAAAACGAATTAATGTTTGTATCATATCAACAAAATCTTGTTTCATTCTTCCATTCATTGAAAGAAGAGGATTAACCATCTTCTCAAACACAGTTAGGGAAGGTAGTTAATCTCTTTCAAACTTCTACATGCCATCATAATCATATTTTTTTATCACAATGCCTCACAAGAAATCGACCAAAAGATCTCTAACGTCCGAAATGGATCGTAATGTTCGACAAATGATGAAACTTATTGAAGACAATGGAGATTCATTTGCACAAAAAGCTGAAATGTATTACCAAAAGAGACCAGAATTGATTTCTCTTGTGGAAGAGTTTTACCGCGGTTATCGATCATTGGTCGAGCGTTACGAGCCTGCTGCAGGTGATTTGTGGAAAAACATACCTTCTGATCTTCAATCTCAAGCCTCAGGTGTTTCTGATAACAGTTCAGAACCACCTCCTGCTTCTCCGAGAAAAACGGGACGTAGAATATCGATTACACGCGCGCCAGGGTTTGATTTCTTTCTTGGCTCTGGTGGAAATAATAATGGTTATGATTCATCATGTCAAAAAGACGGTGATGCATTTTCTAATATGTCGGATAGCGACGATGAATACGATGGTGCTTCGTCTATCAATAGTTACTCGGGGTTCTTTGGGAATGCGAGTGATAATGGCATGACTAAAAGGGTTATTGAATTGGAGATCGAGTTGCGTGCGGTGCAAGATAAGATTTTAGTGTATGAACAACAAGAACAAGGACATAGTGAAGATGGTGTAAAAATCAATGGATATGAACAAGAATTGAAGAATGTGAATGAAAATATGAGGCTTTCACAAGAGAAAATTCATAAACTTGAGATCGAGGTTGAAAAATATAATAAGTCAATGGATTCATTGGCTTATTCGGACAATGATACTTGTTCCAGACTAGGCCAGGGTCGATCCGAACTGGACCTCTGCGCCATTGGTACTAACGAATTATCATCATCAACCAAAGAGGATCTTAATACGAAAAGGGATATCAAATTCTTCGAAGATGAGCTTAGTTTGGCAAAGGAAAAAGTTGAGAATTTTGAAGTGCAAACAGCTTCATTGAAAATTGAGACAAGTAAATCAAATGAGAGGCATGAACAATTGCAGGATCAGCTTAACTTGGCTCACAAGGAAACGGATAAATGGAAAACTATGTTCAATTCTGAGAAGAGAGATAACATTGAGCTTCAAGAAAGAGTTTCAAGGTTGAAAACAAGTCTAGTAGAAAGGGAACATGAGATGATTGAGCTTCAAGAAAGAGTTTCAGGGTTGAAAACAAGTCTAGTAGAAAAAGAACATGAGATCAAGGATTTAAAAGGTATTTTGTCCGAGTCGAAACAGAAAAACTTGTTTGAAAAGTCAAAGTTAAAGACCAAAGTGTGTAAATTGTTGGAACAACATAATCACATGGAAGAGAGACTCCGAGATGAAATTGAGATGTTGAAGCGAGAGATTCATGAAAGAAACGATAATATTGTAGATCTTAATGTGAGACTTGGAGGTTTAATATTAGAGAGAGATAATCTCAATGAAGAAGTTGGTTTACTCAAAGAAGAGATGAATTCAAGAGGTAAGGAGATTGAAAAGGCAAATAGACATGTGGTGGAATTAGAATCAAGAGCAAAGGAACTAGATGATGAGATTGAAAGGCATAAGATTGAGATATTAGAAGGAGCTGAAGAGAAACGCGAGGTTATAAGACAGTTATGTTTTTCACTTGAGCATTATAGAAATGGATATAATGTTTTTAGGAAGGCATTCATAGGTCACAATAGGTTTCCACTTTTGACATCCTAATGTATCTGCGCATGTGATTTTGTACAAAGTGTTTTAAAAACTGAACCAGACATTGAACCGGCGAAGCCTCGGGATCATGGTTCAATTGGTTTTAGTTGTTAGAACCAGGATGAATTATCGGTCGAATAACTGTTGAAGCGTAGATGTGCTGGTTCACGTATCAATCGATTGAATCAGTCTGTTCGATTAGGTTACTAGTATAATCTTTTTCTTATCTTTTGTTTCCTCTCAACTCATTTTCTTGCTAAGATGTATCTTCTTATGCTTTGGAGTGTGATGATGTAAAACCACAAATCATGAGAAGGTAGAAATTATAAATGATTGACCACTTGGTTTGTTTCTACATATGTTGATTCTAAGTGTCATCTGATTTAGGTAGGAAACTCTTTAAGATCAATTTTTCTTGAGGACTAGAAATGTTTGAGATATTTGTATTCTCAATCTTTCTAATGCAAAGTACATGTAAACTTATTATCTTTGATACAATATTTTGTCATACATGTTTAATCATATAATCATATAAGAAGATCTCAATTATTTCGCAGGATTAGTCTCTGCATGCATTGTGCGGCCACAAACACTTAAACTATAATAACAATAAAATTGTAGGACTAATGAAGCAAAATAACTTGAACCATAAAAGAGTGATAATTATTATTTATAAATATTAGGGTTCTTGTTTTTCTTATCAAACTTCTCTAGATTTTCAAGAACACATCATCAATACATAAACCTTAATCACTCATTTAGACCATGTAAGTATGAGTTAACTTTGCTACAATCTCTTCTAATCTCTCCATACATTCCGGTAAGAGGTTTTATATTACCCATCTTAATCATGGAAGCTTTAAAATCTCTAGCAAAAGCATGTGGATTTCTACTATATCGTCTCACGAATCGACCACTTTCACTTCCATCATCACCTTTAAAGAGCTCTTGATCGGAATGTAGTAAACCTTTCTTATTAATCAAATTTTTGTAATATGAATTGTCAAACTTATTAGGAGTGACATGATCAAAAGGTTCAAAGTGTTCATCACAGCCTTTTATAGGACAATTTTCTTGCATGGAGATTGCGAAATCGTGATCTATGTTGGTGTCATTGTAAATCCTTTCCTTAAAACTAGAACATTTAGCCATTCCAATTGTGTGAGCACCGGAAAGTGCTACGAGATCTTTAATGTTTAGGCCTTGAAACTCAAAGTTAGAAACAAGTTGAGAAAAATTGAAAAGCTGTGAAGGAAGATAAAAATCTGCATCTTTCTTTATAGCATTTCTTGAATCTCTTCTTCCTAGTGGCACTTCGTACCAATAGGGTCGACCTCCGAGCTATGAAACAAAAAATAAATACAGTTTAATCACTTGAAAAATTCTTGAAATAGTTTTAGAAAAAGGTTTATAGTTGTATCTGTGATTCTTAGTTCTTACAATGGAGACGGAATCACGAGCAGCAACGGCTAATATATCTGCACATGATACGACAGGACGTTCACAAGCTTTGTCAACGGCTGCTTTCATTACATCAACCAACATAAAGCCTTTAAGAGAATCAATATTTGAGATTGCATTCTTTTCACCTATGAAGTTAGGAGTGTCATCTAGCAGAACCGATCCATCACAACCCTATAGTTATAATTTTGCAATCATAAGCATTTTATGTAATATAATGATATATAGATGAATATGTGTATTATATCTTACATTGACAAAACAGTCATGGAAATGCAGGCGTAGTAAATGTGCTCCCATGCGTGGTTTCATGTTAAGTTTGTGGAGAACAATTGAGCGAATGATTGGCAATGCTTGAGGACAGTCATCATTGTAAAAATCAGGAGTTAGTTCTTCATAGGAATGAATTGTGAGAAATGTGGACATAAGAATAACAATGAAATATTGGAAATGATGAGAAGCCATTTGGTTTGTATTGGCTCGATCTTAACTATAAAGGAGTATCGTTAGATGGTATAAATATTTTGTGATTATATTTGTATATTTATATATAACTTTTGGTTTTGGCCAAGGGCCAAACAAAAAAATTTAAGATTGGACTCGGATAATTTTTATTGGTCTTAGAGGAGAACAACTCGTGATTAAATTAGTCCGAAGACATCATGAAAAGGCCATAGGACGAAACATGCGGGCACAATACGGTAGGTCATGGGTCATCCGATCCGGTCCGTCTCGCTTGGAACTTAGGTTGCTTGATCTGATTCCAAATCTATCAAAAGCTAACTACCTCAATGTGTGGCAGATGTGGTGTCCTCGAAAGAGTCAGCTTAATCAATACTACAAAGAACGATATGCTCCTCCAATCTAGGAGGAAGAACAAATCTCTCTATCCCCCGTATTCACTAAAGAGTTAAGGAAAGACCATTTCTTGCCCACGATCCGACCTATAATACAACTTCTAATATTCCAATTCTGAGGGTGGGGGATCATTCACTAATTTCTCAAATCCATCATATACAAACACTCTTGCTTTCCCTTAGGAAAAAATATTTGTCACCTTATTGTATTTTTCACATATACAATTGGCGTCCACCGTGCGGCCTCACACTTGCATCTAACTTTCAATCTCCTCAGTCATCTTCCTCAATATGGTGACACAACAAGGCACCACAACAGCTAGCAACACTAGTTGCGACAACGAGACCATAATATAGATGTGCGTTGCTATGGAAGAGATGCGCCGCCATAACCAAATCCTAGAAGATAACATATTGACTCTTCAACAGCGGCGGTGCAAAGATAACCTTCCTAAAGAATTCAATATATTTGACCCCTAACCTCTTTCTGATGATATATGGGCCGCTTTAGGGCTATAAAACTTCAATCCTCTATCATTGGTTATCTTTGATGGAAAGAGCGACCGGTAGGAGCATGTCGCCACCATCAATACTCATATGGAGATAATTGACGCTAGTGATTCCTTGAAATGTAAGTTTTTGTCCAATATTTTCAAGGAAGATGTCGCTACGCGAAAAATATTCGGCGGAAAACAGAGTCGCCACCGAACGTTATTTATCCTGACGGGGGAAAGGAAACGATCGAAGAAACCTCAAAAAGGGAAAGATTATGGTCTCACAACCAAATTTCGGATTCGGGAGACGATTACGCGAGAGAAAGGTGTTAGCACCCCTCGCGTCCATTGTACTCAACGAGATCAACTCTTGTTATTCTTTATTATTGAGTTTGTCCGAGTTTTGCAACCCAGTGATTACGTATCCCAGAGAAAATCAGAACTCCGTAGTTCTTGTTAAAAACTTTTTTTGGTTTGTTATGTGTTTTTTTATGGATGATACTAGGCAGCATGCCCTTTTTGAAAAGTTTAAACGAAAAAAAAGCCCGAAGGCAAAAAGGCTTGAGGTTTGTGAGATGTTTTATTAGGGATTGAGAAAACAGTTAGAGATATAATTAAAGTATTTTTGTATTTTTTGAGAAAAGAGATTTTAGTTTTAAGAATGGAAAATTTACCTTAATTCAATGATCCTAAGGTTACGATTAAAGGGAACTAATCCTAATGTTATCATGTCAGGGATCAAAACCTAAGATATACTCTGATTCAAATTGTCGGAAATAAAATTGAATCACAAATCTAAGGGAATATGGCAAGTCAAAGTCATCAAGTTCAAACATCGGGATCAGTACCTACTCTTGATATTAGAATTACTATCAAATTCTCATCCAAGTAGAAATTAGAACCAAAACTATAGTCACAATAAAATTCATGATCAATTAATCCATAATCTAATATCAGACTAATTGAGAAAGTTAAGCATAGACTTAAATTAAAGATTATTCCTAAATCAAAATTTATTGAGATCAAAATCGAAACGAGATTTAACAATTATTAACAACATTAATCCTAAAAAATATCATAACTAAATTTAATAAAAAAATTAAATTAGAATTTGAAATAAAATAATAAAAAGGGTGTGGGCCTATATCCACAAACCCATGAGAAAACTCATAAAAAAAACAACACCGAAAAAATGAAATCCTGGGTCGGGTTCTTCTCCCAACCGAGCGAACAACAATAGCAACACAATTGTTAAAAGAACAAAAAATTGAGGAACATCCATCACTTATTTCTCTTTCTCTCGCTCAAAACTCTCTCAACCTCACTATAATTTGCCTGCTCTCTTCTTTCTCGCATTTGCCGCGCACAACCTTCACCTTTCTTTCTCGATCGCTCGTAATTCACGGCTGGGAAATGATAGTCCCGCGCCATGGCCTGTAGGCCAGCGACGATAGAGTTTTAGCGATAACACTTGTAGCACCCCCTTTCTATACCCCTAAATAAACAATTAAATCATTTAGGCACTTAATAAAATCTTCATCAGAGTATAAATTAACACATGGCATAAAAGAGGCACGTCACATTATCCAGGAAATTCAAAACACATACAACACCTGCTCATAAAGATATGCAACAAAGGGTAAATCACCACAAAGGAACTTAGTCCTTAAAACCCACATATCAATATTTAGAATAAGAGCGGAAACATCTAAACATTGAATCACTTCATTCATATAAACATTATATACATCAACAGTTTAATTCAAGTCATAAGTCATGTTTACAAAACATTCACCAGAAGATACATACACAGATGTATCACAAAAGAACCAAAACAATTCCTAACTACCCGGTGCTACATATCAGAGCCAACCGACCAAAATGAACGAAGCCACGCTTCACTAAAGACCTCCCGCAAACCTACTATGCAATGCCTCATAGAGCATCATAAAACAGCAGAAGGGTGAGAAACATTATCATAACAAACAATTCATATAATATATATATCTATATACACCAACATAGAATACACATAACACATTTCTCACCTCAACTCATCACAATTCAATCATATATACATCGCAACACATATATAATTCACCAAGCATATCCACCATGCAAACATTCACCACTAAGCATATACATCAATCATACTTCTACCATTCACATCATTCACACATAAACATTTCCAATTATGTTTAGTTCAACACTTCACATAAACATACATGATTATGTTCATTACACCAATACATCATATGAAGATAATAATGCAACTCATAGAGACCGACTCACGACTCTATGCAGATGCAAATGCGGTACCGACTCATTCAGCAGGTTCAACTGAAGAACCAAATGGAACCATCGCTCGTTACCGAAGTAACTTCCCGTCGGGCCTACGATGTTCACCCATCGCTCACACCCCACATGGGCACACGATGTTTCAGGATTGCTCACACCCCACACGGGCACACAATCCGATTGCTCACACCCCACAAGGGCACACAATCGTTCTGCAGATTCTCCATGGAATCAAATATAAACCATCGCTCACACCCCACAAGGGCACACGAGGTTTCTGCAGATCCTCCTAGGGATCAAAAATAAACCACCGCTCACACCCCACAAGGGCACACGAGGTTTTTGCAGATCCTACGCGGGATCAGACGCACAAGAATGCAATCATGATGCTTCACATGTAAAACGACTCCATACACTCTTGAAATGCATACACGTTCACAAACATACTCATGCATTCTTCACATCATACAAGTACATACAATTATGCACATTCACATCAATCTCATCATGAATTTTTATTCAATTCAAACAAATGCACAAAATTGCCAAACAGCCACATTTCACACTTCATGATTCACAATCTAGGATTCACATCATATGGCTACCCACAGCATTTCATATCACAACATACAACTATGCATAATAAGAAAGGATTAATCATACTTGAATAGAAGAATCAACATTGGAGTGAAAACACGAGAAAATAACATGCTGACACGCTCGCTACTCTGCTCGCCTAGCGAGTACTCGCTACCTGTTCGCCTAGCGAACAAGCTCGCGAAGGAAAACATAAGCCACTGACTTTATTCGATATCACACTCGCTTAGCGAAGGCCTAGCAAATGCTCGCCACCCCCTTCTCTACCAGCGAAGAACATCAAAACCATTCTGTCCAAGTCTGGGACCATTTGCTACTGGCTCGCCACAACGAATTCCTAGCGAATGCTCGCAACCTGCTCGCCTAGCGAACTTGCTAGCGAGGGTCTGCGAACTCAGAATTCCCCACTGTCCAAAACTACGAAATTCCTTTAAATCTACACGATTCAATTCCAACTCGTCCCAGTAGCCTTAGCCCAACATTCCTCGACTAAACTTTACCACTTATTCTCATTTTTAACTGTTAAAACTCGGTTTCTACCGATTAAATCAAATTCAACCTAAAAATGGAAAATGAACAAAACTCTCCCCAATCCAAAATCAAACCAATAGGAACATACATAATCATACACATCAAAAGAATAATAAAGTTTCACACCCTTACCCGATTAATCGAAGCTTAGAAGTTGATTCTTGATGATTCTAGGTTTTCTCCTCTTCCTCATCTTTTCTCTTCTTTCCTTTCTTTTTCTTTCTATCTCTTTTCTTTTCTTTCTATTTCCACTTATACTCTTTCTATTCTATTTCTCTCAAATATTTACTAATTAAGGATTATCTAAAACACCCTCTAATTAATTCCCAAAACTCTCCGAATAATAAAATAACATAATATGCACACATAACATATTAATATTCAAAATCCACAATTAAAAGAATAATCAATCAAAATAAATCAAAAGACTCAACAAAAATGGGAAATCAGAATCGGGGCGTTACAACTCTCCCCCACTTCTGAAATTTTCGTCCTCGAAAATATTACCTGATGCAAACAATTCCGGATGCGACTTCCGCATCTTACTCTCCAATTCCCAAGTCATGTTGCCTTCTGCAGCACCTCCCCATGCTACTTTCACAAGTGCAATATCCTTGCCTCTTAGCTTCTTAATTTCACGATCCAAAATCCTAATCGGTAAAACTTCAACCGTAAGATTATCTCTTAC